CATTCCTGGCTGGCTTTGCTTCCCCTCCTGCCATCGCTGAGAGGAGCTGCTGCAGACGACGGGCGGCATCTCCTGGGGTGCCGGGGCTGGAGGAGAGTGGGGGTTTGGGTGGCACACGCTATTCCTCCCCCAGTGACCACAGGTGACAGAGGCGCCAGCAAAGCCCTTCTCCCAGGGGAAGGAAGGAACGGCAGCATCTCACTCCTCCGGTGCCCGAGTTGTTTGTGTCACCATGACGGCCACATCCTCACCACCCTGGTGGCCCCTGGACTCCTCGAGTGTGAGTCCCAGGGCTTAGGATGCTCCGGGATGGCCTCAGGGGAAGGCACAGGGCTGTGCAGCAGCAGGGAGGACATCTTTCAATGTCTCGTCTGCTCTCCAGTGACACAAAGGACTGATGTGAACAGGACCGTAAGACCCCGGTGCTTTTGAGGCTTCCAGATATTTTTTTCTTTAATTGTTTTACACCTAAACCCAGTTTCTAGCCCTGCAAGCAGGCTGGGCTGTGACAACCCAGGGAGCCTCAGGACTGCTCCTGCTGAGATGCTGAGGGGACATTCAAGGTTGATGTATGCGATGAATGGTGGGGGAAAGCCGGCGCGGGGCTGGGGGGACGACGGACAGAGCCCATCAGGTCCCATTTTAACAGTGAGAGACAGTGACTGGTGCAGAAATCAAATCCCATTTTCCTCCCCGAATTAGCACGGCCGGGGACCTGCGCTGGCAGCTACGGGGGAGCAGCCCGGTGGTGGCTCCAGCGCGGCACAGCTGAGACAGGCTATAAATTCTGCAAGAGTCTTATGTAAAGGCTTTCAGGGAAGGGGGTGGCAGAAACCTTAACCCTTTGGTTCACAGAAAGCCGCTTATTCTCCTCCCCAGTGCCCGTGGGGCTGGGGGCACGGGGAGGTGGGCAGATGTCCCTCTCTCTGCCCCGGCATCCCTTTGCTCCCCGCTCCAGAGCCGGCCTCAGCTCCCGGGTCCCCATTCCCAATTGTCCTTGTGCCTCTGGAGGAAAACCCCGCCAGAAGAGAGTTCAGAAAAGCCCTGGGGTCACTCGAGCAGAGCAGATACCCTTTTTCCTCTGCTCCATCAGCCCCTCTCTGCTCTCTGTGGGATGTGGCTGTGCAGGAGCCCTCTCTGAGCATCTTCCGACTTCACTGACTCGCTGCTTCTGCTTTAAAATCCAGCCCGGAGCCATCTCTTCAGTCAGGCTCCCCTCGCAAGCAGCGCTTTCCTCCAGATCCTCATTACGTGCTCCAGCCTCGAGGCCAGAGGCAGCGTGCATGAAAGATGCGGCACAAATCCCTGGCGTAGCATGCCGGGAAGGTGTTTTCCCCACATCGCAGCTTGCCTGGATTTCTTTGCTGGGCCCGAGAGGTCGGAAAGAAAGGGGCTGGGAGAGCTCTTCCGGAGCCGGCGTTTCCCAGGCCAGCCACGGGCCGGGATAGAGCATCGCTCCCGGCCACCCGCTGGGGCCAGCTACCGGAGGGGAGAATCCTTCGGTCTTTGGGGTGGCCCCAGCTGCTCCAGGCTTTCCTGTGCCACTCTGGAAGGTTTTCTGAGAAAAAGCAGGAGTGAAGGGTTATCCCGGTGTGCGATCTGCCACGGCAGCCTGCCGGCACCGGCTCCTGGTTGCTGTGTCCTTACAAGGCAGAGGTGCGGGTTTGAACGTGAACTAGTCAGGTTTTATATCCATAAATCCCCCTGTGTTTTATCCACAGAGGGATTTTGCTTCTCGGGGACGTAGGAAGGAAACACCGGCTCCGTTACCTCGGGGGGTCGGCACCCGGGGACCCACTTGCAGGTTGGCAGCCCAGCCGCCCCCTGCCCCGGAGGGTTGTACGGTGGAAAGAGTTCACTTCCAGCCAAGCATTTCAGTGTGTCTGTTCTCTCAAATATTCAAACCGGTGGCTTTAAAAATAAAAAAAATAAAAAAAAAACCAACCAAACCCAACCCGTTGCCCATTTATATTCCCCTCACAGCTGTGCTTGCAGCATGGCTGGGGTATGAATGGACGCATTCCTCTTACCCACGGCTTATCTCCGCAGAGCAAACCTCCGCTCTCCCACCGGCTTCGGCTTCAAAGCTTTCCAACAGTCCGGGCTCGGGGCTGAAATCCGACAGTGCGCTAGCACAGACCCGGCTCGGAACCTTTAGTGTCATAGAGCTGAGAGTCTTCTTCTCATCCTCCCCACCCCCAGCCCATCCTGCCTGCGGCTCCCTCCCCCCTGGGAAGCCCCTTCCAGCCGGCACATCCCTCCCCAGCCCGCCGCACATGCAGGCAGCAAACTGGAGATACCAGCTCCAGCCTGCCGCAGCGTTCGCTGCTGCTTAGGAAAAAAAAAACCACCCTCATTTACTCAATTGAAGCTTCCCTGTTGATTTAATTAATGCAAATTGAGACACGTGTTAAAACCTCCTTGTAATTACTGTAACGCTTACTGTTGTGGGGTGGTTTGGGGTTTTTTTTCCCTTTTTCTTGTATTTTTAAGGAAAATAGTAAGGCCTGGATTCACAACAGCTTATAAAGGTCCGTGGCCCTGCAAGCTGAGCCCAGTGTGCGCAGCGAGAACTGCAGAAGAGCTGGTAGAGGAGCTCGGTGTCCGGCTGTGGGCTGCGGTACCAGCCCCGAAGACCGGCGTGGATGCAGGTGCGGTGCTGACCCCGCTCCCAACCCAAACCCGGGCAGCGCCCTCTTGAGCAGAATTCCATAGATTCCTTTGACTGGTAAGTATGTGCTTGTTTTTATGTTGATTTTTCTCGTGGCACATCAAAACTTTGCTCTGGGTGACGTTCCGAAGAAATATTGAGTTTCATAATCTCCAAAGTGAATTGTTATCATCTCATGCGTCGGCTTCCAGGCTGCCTTGAGCTGGAAGCCCCGGATGCTCGCAGTCACGAGGGATTCGGCTCAATTTTGTCATCTTCCCAAGCACCAGTTCCTCCCGCGCTGGGTTAGAGGGCAGGAGCCATGCTCCGCCGGGCGGGCAGACCTTTGGGATCGGGCACGGGGCACGTGGTTGTCGGCTTCGAGGTGCGATGCTGCAGGGCTGGGCTGCAGGCGTGATGCTTGCTGGGTTCCCTGGCCTTCAAAATGCAATGCCGCAAGGCAAGAGAGCTCCTGTTCTCTCAGCCGGCAGCATCAAGGGTATTTTGAGGGCACTACTGTTTTTTCGACAGTTTTCACTCTGCAGCAGAAGCCCCGTTTCGGGCTGGAGTGGTCTCTCGCTGACCCTAGAGATGATTCCTGAATAAACAGGGGAGAAAAGGACTGAGAAGGGAAACTGAGGTGCTGGAGGAGAGAAGGGGCTGCGTGAGGTCTCTCTAGTTCCAGCCTACTCCGAAAAAAACCCCCTGGAACAGCTTGGAGGGATCAGTTTTGGTCAATATCCAGATTTCCCCCATTTTAGGAAGGACAGGCTGAGCTCAGCCCCGTGGATGCTGGCTCCTGCTTTGCCCCTGAGCATGGGAGGTAAAGCGGAGGGCTGCGTGAGGCGGGGACCCCAAATCCTCTTTTTTAACCCCTTGGCTTACATCGGCACCCTGTACCGGGGTGTGGGGTGATGGTGAGACTGTCAGCACCCCTCCCCGGGTGACACGGTGGCGCTAGATCCCCCAACCCACCGGTTTCAGGATGCCTTCATCTCCCCACGCTGGTAGCAGCTCTCTAACGACGTTCATCACGCAAGGCCTGGGTTTGGGGGGGTGGTGGTTGCGTGGGTTTTTTTGGTGGTTTTTTTTTTTAATTAAAATGAAGCACTTATGTTGGCAGTCGCAACATGAGCGTGTCTCTCCGGGTATTGATTTTAGCGTACGGCAGCAGTTTGCTGGTTTATCGCATGAAAGAAAGAGATGTGTTTTTCCTCCTGAAAGGCTGGCTTTGTTTGCCTCTTCTCACAGCTGCAGTGGATGTGTCTGGTCTTTTTTCTTTTAATATATATATTGATGTATTATGAACTCAAATTAGCGGGGGGAAAAAAAGGGATCAAAGAGCACTGAGCTAAGTGCAGGTATTGTTTCCGTGCT